ATGGGACAGGCATATATTGGTTACTTTCAGATTAGCTGGATGCAAATCCAGTATTCAATACATTCGCGAATTATGATTTAAACGAAGCATCCAATACAACGTATTGTTAGCAATCGAATAGTAAATGGTATATAATTGGATTTGAATACACGAACGGGAAGCGATTGCAATTAAACCGGAACACTTTTAGAAATCGATTCAATTGCATCGTTTAAATGTGATACTCGTAATCGAATTAAAATCGGATTCCGTGTCGTGTTGCGTTTTGTTTTGTCCGTGATTGTAGCACTCTCATTGTGGCTTTCGAGTTGCTATATTTAATTGCAACGAATTGTACTTTATACTTTTCGGTTTCAATTAAATGTTGCCCATATCTTAATAAAAAAATCAAAAGCAAGATTCTTTTAATCGATTCCAATCCCATTCGATATATATTTACATGGTATAGACGGCCCCAGTGGTGTAGCGGTTTAGCGCATCGTTTTACTTCTGATGGTTGCGGGTTCGATCCTTCAATGGTATTAACATTTGAATTTATGAGTATGAATATTGGTAATAGTGTGGATTTTTTATATGTACATATATTATGTATTTCATCATTGCCATGTTTTTATCCCATTATTTGTGGTCGGCGCAGTATGTCATTCTCTTCCACTGATCTCTATCGGTTGTTATAACTGAGCATATATATATATATGTATATTATGTATTTACAAAAAATATATATGTCTAAGTATTTACATCAGTTGTCTTATAGCCGTAACACTGTTTCAGCTTATCTTGGGACTAGATGGCGCTATGTAAATTGTCCAGGGATATTATTAAATTACATATTAACACGGTAGTAGAAATACATTTTTTATCCTAAAAATATTATAACAGAAGTGGTCCCGGACTGTGTGATTGCAGAGGAACTTCCTCCCGCGTGTAAGTGTACGCGGGAGGAAGTTCCTCTTGTGGAATGAACTACCTGCCCTGGTTTTCACGAGAGACTACAGCATGGGGTTTTTCAAGAAGGGTATATTAAGGTTTCTTAAGGGCACAACGCGCAAGTGACACCCCTTGTGCTTCAGGCGTACATAGTTACGGTAACTGTTTACCTTCAGATGGACTGTATGCTTTCCACCTTTGTAGTGTAAAAAAGATAGAAAAAAATCTTTTTGGAATATCAGAAAAACCAGTACCCAATTATTTTAATCAAACAGTATTTTACAAAATGAATTATATGTATTAGTTAGGTAGGTACATATTTCTTTGGTAAAAAATATTGCTTTTAGTGTTTTTAATAAAGCCAACGGCAATATATGTATTAATTATCGATGTATCAGAACCCCATTTTTTCATTTCATGTTTTTACATTTAAAATTCAATCACTTTCACAATTTGTGCGTTCCATTACGCAACAGCTAGGGTTGTGTGAGTTCGCGAACTATCTAGTTCGGAAGGGAAAAGACGAACTATATGTAACTAGACCGCAGATCCTCCGCACTCTAGTTCAGTAGTGTACTATACTAATATAAATTATGAACTATATGAATATATACTAATATGAATCCTAGTGGGAAATTATTATATTAACCCCTACTAGGAACCTTCCGCCAATCTGTAACTCGAGTCGTGAGCGAAGGAACTAATTTAATTTAATCATTATCATTCTCATTTATTTAGTAGTTTGTTTGAGAAATCACAAAGTATGTTAAAACAATTAAGATCAAAAAATATATAAGCTTTGAGTCGCGAACTAGAACAATGAACTAATTGACAAGAGAGCTTCAAACAAAATTGAGCGGTCTCAATCACGAACTATTACATACAAGACTAGAAACAGAAATTCTCGTTATGAAAATACTCATGTCAATGGCTTTACATTTTATATTTTGATAATATCCATGAAACTAGCATTTTTTTTAAAGAATATTGAAGAAATTGTGTTTCTCGCGTTTGTAAACGCAGCGTGAGACTTCCCGCAGTAAGTTTTCTCGAGAGAATACAGCATGGAGTTTTTCAGAGGTATATAGAGGTTTTATAATAGTCGGCAACTTGCACGTGGTACCCTTGGTGTCTCAGGCTACGGTAACCATTTACCATCAGATGAGCCGTAAGCTTGTTTGTCACCATCGTAGTATAAAAGAAATAAAATTAAACGTAATCCAATTAGAAACCTTCTCTTTAAAGTGGTTTGTAAATTCTAGAATGTTCCAATATAATAATAATTACTCCTCTGGACAATTGACACAGCGCCATCTATCTCAAGGTAAGCAGAGGTTGTGAGTACTAGACAACTGATGAAAGTATTTAAAGTAAGATTATTAATTCCAGTCAGTAAAATGACAAGTGCAACTGTCACTGATACAAAAAAGGGTGACCCGCTACAATAGTGATGTGCGGAAATCAATAGACTTAGACATTTAGTCACGCTTTATTTTATTAGGTATCAAAACCTTTTTTTTTAAATTTTTAATATTTAATACATATCGTATTAAATAATACGATTTTAGAAATATGGACCTTACCAGCATATTAAAATTTCTCACTATAACATTATTACAAAAGCTGGGAAAAAATGTAAAAAGAGATTCAGAAAAATTAATACTAGAATTTTTATGTATATAAAGGCAAATTGATATTGAATAAAAAAAATGTAATCTCGACTAACTTTTAATTGTAAAAACTCGATTCTACCACATTACTATTCATTTGGGACCTGCAACACTGGAAATGTCATTTTACTGACTGGAATTAATAATCTTACTTTAGATTTTTTTTTAAATACTACATAATATACATAGAAAACACCCGAACCGATACAGACAATCATATTCATGAGTACAAATGTTTGTATTATGCGTGGAATCGAACTTGCTACCATCGGAGGCAAAGCGGTGTGCTAAACCGCTAAACCACCGAGGGGGTCAAATATCTTGTTTGTATTTTTGTTACGGATAGATAAACTTTGAATACAACTGACGAACACGTTTGAAACAAGAGTGCTAAACAAATATTCGTTGAGTTCGAAAACAATTATTTTAGGAAAACATATCGTGCCCCTTTCTGTTCTGTACCGATTTGGAAGGCTATATATATATATATATATATATAATATATATATATATATATATATATCTGTTCATAGATTACCTATTGTCTAGTGATTGTACATACTGCTTCACGTTTTAATGGTCGCGGGTTCGATTCCTCGCAGCACAAACATTTGTATTCATGAGTATGATTGTTTGTATCGGTCTGGGTGTTTTCTCTGTATAATATGTATGTATTATACGAATAAAAAAACTATGTACTTGTATCAGTTATCTAGTACCCGTACCACAAGCTTTAGATAGCTTAACTTGGGACTAAATGGAAGTGTGAATTGTCCAAAAAAAATATGTATAAACATACAACATTGACAAAAGAAAGAGGTAACAATGGGCGGCCTTATCGCTGAAAAGCAATTTCTTCCAGGCAACGTTAGGATGGAGAGGAGAGATTGAATAGAGTCTGATCGAGGTGTAACAATAATATATACCAACCGGTCGAGGTGTAAAATAATATATACCAAAATGTAACAAATATATATAGTGAGAAGTGATGTTAAAATAAATATATATATAAACAAACTTTTGCACGCGGCTTCGCTCGCGTTAATTTATCCCCTTAGGGGTGGAATTTATCAAAATCCTTTCTTAGAGGATGCCTATGTCATAGTAGCTTTATGCATGCAAAGTCTCAGCCCGATCGGTTTAAAATTGACAAACTTTCATCCCCTATTTTATCCCCTTGGGGTAGAATTAATCAAACTCCTTTCTTAGCGGATGCCTAAGTCATAACATCTACCTGCATGCCAAATTTCAGCCCGATCCGTCCAGTGATTTGGGCTGTGCGTTGATAGATCACTATGTCAGTCACCTTTGAGTCATATATATATTTAGATTACTTAGTTTGATTAAGGTATATGAAAAAATGATAATTTTTGTGTGTCTATGTTAGTATGGGTGCTTTTTTTATTCCATATTTTTTTTTCTATGCGTATTATAAATGTTTATATAATGAATGTTTTGCAATATCTCTCACTTGTTATGTATTTGAAAGCGAACAAAGCTGCTTTCAGCTGAATTTAGTGCTATTCCTTATAATATTTATATATCATTACATAGTATAAAACAAAGTCGCTGTCGCTGTCTGTCCGTCCCTATGTATGCTTAAATCTTTAAAACTATACAACGGATTTTGAAGCGGTTTTTTTTAATAGATATCTAGAATCGTCTAGAGGAAGGTTTATATATATAATACATATACACCCAGATAAAGCCAGCGCGAGTAGCTAGTATGATATATATTACGAGCTATCAATTAGAAAATGTTGATTTTCTTGCCAGTTATTCTCAATTGGATCTATATGTATATTGAACAGGACGGTAAGTAAAAAATTATACGTTCATAAGCGGCTAAAATGTCTTACATGAATAAATGATTATGGAATTTGAATTTGGCTATATTTCATAAAGTACAAATAAAAAAAGTTGTATGTGATTAAAGAAGTTTAGGACACTCGTTTCCCACTTCTCGCAAAATATACAATCTTTCATTTCATTTCATTTCTCCTACATCTACATCCTGCAGATAACAACTGGTTTGAAGATAGAATTTTTCTTTCTTCTGCCTCTGGAATTTTTTGTTTTTTTATTTGCTTTATTGACCACTAAAATTGGTACAGAAGGTAGATTTAATGCGATAGCATTCTGTCCCAGTCAACCTTACGGATGTGCAGAGATACATGAACGAGGTTAATTGAATTTAAATTATGTTAAACAAAAGTGCATTATTTTTCTATAAAAATATCATAATAAACCTCTATCGTTTCGCTGTACCCCGCCGATCGCAACCTCCGTCGAGGACGGAGATAGCGCTGGCTGGTACCACAGCAAACGATCGCATTCCAAATTCAAACACGTTCAGTGCAATCGCGACTCCGCCCTGTAAATACGTCACTGCCGTCAAAAATGCCAGGGAAGTGTGACAAGTCGAAATGGCGACGCAGAAAATGGTCAAAGTCTGCCGACGACGACAACGACTGCGCGAGCCTCGCCTGGCTACTAAACTTTCGGTTGGACGAGTTCGTCAACGTCAAAGTCCCTGATGAACCGGTTATGAGGGAGCCGACTGTGCTGGTTCCTGATACTCCACCGGCGCCTCGGAAACCTCCGTACACGTACCCTGAGCTGATAGAACGAGCGTTGCGGGAGAAGGGGGAATTGACGGTGTCTGCAATTTATCAATGGATATCGTAAGTTCTTGATACTTTTGACGTAATCTGGTTGGTCTCGTTTAGTAAATATTTTTTTACATATTATTGTAAATGATTTATTTAAATTATTAATTCTATATTTAATATATCGACCCTTATTGTACTATATGCTTTGAATTCACAAACTTACATATGTGAAGTTATACAATATTTGCTAATAAAAATTACCTAACAGTTTTCTTTCTAGCTCTTTCTTGACTGTATCTGATTTTTTAATATAGCAACAAAAAGACTAAAAAGAGCTTATATAGTAAAGATTACCTAACAATATTCTTTCTTGCTCTTTCTAGACTGGATCTGCCTTCTTAAAATAGTAACAAAAATGACTATTCAAAAGAGCTAAGCTATTACTAATAAGAGTTATTTCTGTTATATTATAATTACCTGTTCAGCGACAAAAGAGACTAAAAAGTACTTGTATATAAAATTTACTTAACAATTTTTATTAGATTACTTAACAATCTTCTTTCTTGCGCTTTCTTAACAGTATCTGTATTATTAATGTCTCAACCAAAATACTATTCGAAAGTATATATATATTCATGAAGAAAGATTATTTCTGTAATTAGCTATTGACTATATATTTTAATTTTGCCTAATTTTTACCAGTGACTTTATTTGTTTTTTTTATATAATAGTTAACCTATGATAGAATCTATATTCACGACAAACTTCATTAAGTTTCATTCAGCCGTATAGTCGAAAGGTAACCCTCTGACATATAGATAGACGTATATTTCTATTTTTGATATTAGTTTCTGCTAATATATGTAGCTATTATTACTCTACAGACTCTACTTTTCTATGGTAGACAGTAAGTTAAAGTATTCAAACTAAACTAATCTGGAGACATATCACTCCATCATGGTTTCTACATATGCAAAAATCATAGGAATATTAGCTTTCTATATTGGCCACGCGGCTTGGTATACCGATTTGATTCTAGTTCTTCAACGGCGTGTATCTTCGTTTCTTTAATTAGCACATATACATTCTTCAAACTGGTTTCTCTCCATACAAAAGTGATATTCATAGAAACATGAGCTTCATATATGGACCACGCGGTTTGGTATAGCGATTTGATTGTAGTTCTTCAATGGCGTGTATCTTCGTTTCTTTAAACTGGCGCATAGACATCCTGGAAACGAAGTTCTTATTGTGTGACCACAAAGTTTGTATTCAAACATTGTTGTATTCATGAACAGTTATGATGAATACAAATAACCGATCAACAAATGCGCATTTAGCGTTCATATCAAATTATGCAAACAAAGAAAATCGGCTTCACATTAGTTTGTGTCATTTCGGAATAGGGTTGTTCCATTGTTCAATGGATACGCAATTTCCGAGTGTTGAAAGTGAATTTAGTGAATACAAAAGATTGGGGCTTTCTTTCGAAATGGTAACCCTAATATTTTTGGACTAAATATTTTATTATGTCAAGAATTGTGCGTTTTTTTTATTTTTTTTTAATAATATCTTTAATGTTTGTTGTGCTCTTAAAAAACTACGCGGATTTTGGTTCGTTTTTATTTAATAGACAGAATGGATAGACTCAATAGGAAGGTTTAAGATATATAACGTCCCACTACTGAACACGGATCTTTAAACGCGTGAAAACCTATATATCCTATGTCCATGTGGGCGAAGCCGCGGGCGGAACGCTAGTAATACCTGTTCCCGGATATTAAATTCCAGGCTTGTTACTTGAATTAGAATTTGTGCTTAGTTAAGGTAATATAATCTAGACTGCTATGATGTTACGTGGTAGACTAGATTTATTCTTATCACTAGCGACCTGCCACGTGTTGACTCGAGTGTGGTTATTATAGAGACGTATTGTTTACAAAATTTGGTAATAAATTATATCAATAATAACAATAGAAAATAGTAAAACCAATATACAAATAAATTAACATACAGTGTCATCTAGTCTCAAGCAAAATAGAACTCTTGTTACGGATACTAAAAACTGATATAAATATTTAATTTGTTAAAAAAAATTGTATCGGCCTGGGTGTTTCCTTTGTATATAATATATATATAATATAGATAGAAAAAACCCAGACTATAAATATTATTTTAGATAGTAGGTAGAAATCAATTAAACACACTGCTCAACCAGCCGGGTTCGATTCCAATATAATACAAATATTTGTATTCAAGAGTCCGTTCAAGCAATTTCTAAATATATTAGATCTACAGCTGTCTAGTGACTATTGTCAGGCGTAATTACATTATAAATATTATTTTTGACAGTAGGTAGCAAATTATTAGACTGCTGAACCAGCCGTTGGGCGCAGGTTCGATTCCAATATAATACAATTATTTATATTCAAGAGGCATTTCCGAGATTAGCCTGAACATACAGACAAACAGACAAAAATTGTAAAAAATGGTATTTTGGTGTATGTACCGTTTTTATTCTATGTATTCATATGCATGTAGTAAAAAACGGTTATTTCAATATTACAAACAGACATTACAATTTTATTTATATGTATAGATTGTTTGAACACAGACTCTTGAATACAAATATTTGTATTATATTGGAATCGAATCCGCGCCCAACGGCTGGTTCAGCAGTCAAATAATTTGCCACCTACTGTCAAAAATAATATTTATAATCTAATCACAACTAACATTCGTTATTAGAACCATAACTAATCAAGTGCAGTATCCACCTCACTTGTAATCTTGTAAACAGATTATGTTATCACAGTGTTTGCTGATTCCATACGGCTGTACCTACTGAATATAGTAGCTTATCGTTTAGTAAATATTTGATCTAATGTTATTAATTCATCAGCTGTCAACTACTCTGGCCGATTGATAGATTACTTGTCTATATCTCTGATTAGCCTATCAAAAATTGCATTGAGTATGACTATTTTTACTGATAATGGAATGGTGCACCCGCCTGCGCTAACGGTGCACGCAAGGCACCAGTAGAGGATGATAAGATGAGACTTAGCTCAGGTCAGATAGCCCAGCAGGAACTTACCATAACGGTGTATGTATGTGTGTATGTATTTGCGAAAAAATATCTATGTATTTATATCCGTTTTCTAGTACCCAAAACACAAGCTTTGCTTAGCTTGAGACAAATGGCACTGAGTTGTTCTGAGATATTATCGTTATTATTCAGGTTGCATATCATTACATAGTATAAAACAAAGTCGCTGTCGCTGTCTGTCCTTATGTATGCTTAAATCTTTATAGATACGCAACGAATTTTGAAGCGGTTTTCTTAAATAGATAGAGTGATACAAGAGGCATGTTTATTTATATAACTAGCTGTCCCGGCAAACGTTGTTTTGCCATATAAATTAATACCGCTATAAAAAAATAGGGGTTGATGATAGAAGGGTGAAAATTTAGGATTGTGTGTATTTTTGTATGTTGTATCATAAATAAATAGAAACTAAAAATTTTGTCTAAAAAATAAAAAATAAATTACGGGTGGACTACCCCTAACATTTAGGGGGATGAAAAATAAATGTTGGCCGATTCTCAGACCTACTCAATACGCTCACAAAATTTCATGAGAATAGGTCAAGCCGTTTCGGAGGAGTATGGGAACGAAAACTTTAACAGGAGAATTTTATATATAAGATATATGTATACCCGTGCGAAGCCAGGGCGAGTAGCTAGTTTCAAATAAATCTGACCAGAGAGGTTTCAGAATTAATTATCAAACTTTTATGACCTAATTATACAATAATTGATTTGTAATTGGGTTCAATATTTTTTTTTATTAATGTTCTTTATGTGAAAGTGTTTTAAAAATTAAAATCAGTTAATTAATTTCAACTGGTATGCATCAAAATTAATAAATTAAACCTTATCCTCTACAAAGTTTGTTTACACATTTTTCTAATAAAGTTTGTTATATAAATTATAGAAGTTAAAAATAATGATTATAATTATGAATACATGTTTACACTGAAAAAGTAAATCCACAGTCCGCTATAGCAGGTGCCAACAGGTGTAATAACCATACGCCCTACAATCGCTCAATCGAAAGCATTTGACACAGGATGTTTTGATAATCACTCAAATTAGGGGGCGTGATCACAAGCCTCGTGGCTCGTGCAGCTTGGTCGCGGTCGGTCGCGCAATCGATCACCGTGCCAGTCGGCGACGGGACGCGTGGCCTAGCTACCGAAAACGGCACAACATCTTTGTAAATATTATTGTTGGTGGTACTGCAAGGACGCGTTTTGGGACCTTTACTGATTTGAATTATAGGAACATTATTTTTAATTATTAGTTTTAATTGTAATAGATATTTATTATTATTAATTTAAGAACAATCTAGTACTGTAAGGATAACCTGTTCTTAGGCTGTACTCTTAATGTTATTCATCTTCATCATATAAGTTATGTTCAGCGGTTTAGTCCTAGTAATAAACAGACAGACTTAATTTCTTATATACACTATAACTTAATATATAAGTTCATTTGAATAAAGATTATTTCCATTTTACATTATTGGTGCTGTTCTTTGTATTGAATTTCAAGTCTTTTATTTGTACTTTATATTCTCTTAAAATAATTTTATTATTAGCAACCCAATAACTTATTTATGACTCTGACTGTACATAAAATGAAAAAAAAACCAACAGCACTCGGTTTTCTAGTGAGTTTAGTATTACTTCAAAGATCTAACATAAAAGACGTATGCAACATAAAGTTTATATTCACAAAGAGGTAACAACAGAATGATTTGACGACCGCGGTGGTCTAGTGGTCTAGCACACCGCTTTACGACCGATGGTCGCGGGTTCGATTCCTCGTACGGAACAAACATTTGTCTTCATGAGTATGATTGTTTGTGTCGGTCTGGATGTTTCTATGTATAATATGTATATATTAAAAAAATATATATATCTATGTATATGTATCAGTTATCTAGTACGCATAACACAAGCTTTAGCTAGCTTAACTTGGGTCTAGATGGCGCTGTGTGAATTGTCCTGAAATTATTATTATTTTACAAAAATTCTCATCTCCCCTCTTAAGGAGAGGAGATGGCAACTTACCAAAACGAAAAAAAACCAACAATACTCGGTTTTCTAGTGAGTTTAGTATTACATCAAAGATCTAACATAAAAGACGTATCTAACATAAAGTTTCTATTCACAAAGAGCCAACAACAGAATGATTTTACAAAGCCATTTGAAACTGGAGAAACGAAAAAACGAGAAAGTTCAGCAATTAGCGGACTATTGTTAGCAGTTTCTAATCCAGTTCACGTTTTTAGGTTTCATTGCTCTCTTTTTAATCCTTGCTTTTTGTCAATTAACGCTTTTTAAAGAGCTCCAGTTGTATATCTGACAAATTAGTGATAGAGTTAGTACGTACAGTGAATGATTTAGGTATTTATTCTGTGTACGCAAAGTACCAACTGAATTTACATAGTTCAAAAATCAACTGATTACTTCAATTTCTAGTGTAAAAAGGGACGGCCTATATTTTAGATAAGATTCTAGCAGTTTCCTGTTTCCTATGTGTTTTTGTAAATACATACATAAGTAACACTCAGACCAATATAAACAATCACACTCATGAATGCAAATGTTGGTACTGTGTGGAGTCGAATCCGCAACCATCGGAAGTAAAGCGGTGTTCTAAACCGCTAGGCCTCCGAGGTCGCTGTTCTTTTATATCTTCCCTGTACAGACAGAAACAAGTTGCATTTTTATTATATACTAGCTGTAACCGCCACTTCGTCCGCGTGGAATTTAACTTTATTTTTCTAAAATAAAAGTAACTTAAGTTACTCCTTATTATATCAGCTACCTGCCAATAAAAGTCTCGTCAAAATCGGTCCAGCCATTTCAGAGATTAGCCGGAAGAAACAAATAGACGGACAGACAGACAAAAATTGTGAAAAATGTTATTTTGGTGTAAGTACCGTATTTATATTCATATGCATGTAGTAAAAAACCATTATTTCAATGTTACAAACAGACACTCCAATTTTATTTATATGTATAGATATCAGTAAAATATTTGATAATAACAAAGGTTAATTGTTAAAATTATGATTGACATTTTCGATACATATTTAATAGTAGAATACTTTAGGTACACATTTTTCAGGTTTATCTATATCTATACATTTAAATAAAATTGGAGTGTCTGTTTGTAATATTGAAATAACGGTTTTTTACTACATGCATATGAATATAAATACGGTATATACACCAAAATTACATTTTTTACAATTTTTGTCTGTCTGTCTGTTTGTTCCGGCTAATCTCTGAAATGGCTGGACCGATTTTGACGGGGCCTTTTTTGGCAGGTAGCTGATGTAATAAGGAGGAACTTAGGCTATTTTGTCATTATTTCGTAACTAGAAAAATGGCAGTGTTCAAAATATACATTTTTTACAAGACAAGCATTTAAAGTTTTATTTTTATTTAAATTATTTTTTCCTTTAAAATTTTCTATTTACGCAGAAGTATTATATATCATTTTAAAAGTATTTAGATAATGATTAAAACGGCGTGGTTAATTTAATTGACTTATATAAAAGGAGGCAATTCTAGCTTCTAATTTTGAAAAATGACATTTTTCTATTTAATCGACGAAATGTTCTGCTTAGTTTGAGTCTAGATGTCGCTGTGTGTGAATTGTCCAGTTATTATAATTATTATATTAACTGGACAATTCACACACAGTCCCCTTATCAACATAATATAATACAAAATTATTATAAAAAATTTTGTCTGTATATCTGACAGTTTGTATGTGCTAATTTCAGATGTGACTTAACAGATTTGGGTTTAATTCTTAGTAGTATATTGTGGTGAACTTCAGTTTAATTTTTGTTTTTATTATATTACAATAGAATGATGATGATGATGATGATGATGATGATGATGATGATGATGATGATGATGTCCACCTTGTTGTAAATCCGACAATAACGACTCACTAACGTTTTCTTTCATGCGCTCTTATGTGACTAGCGAATCCGATATTATCTTTAAAGACTCGGTAGCATTGCGTACTAAAAAATATTACGGGTTTGAAGCCGCAGACTCAACTAGTGAATCAATAAAAGTGCCAGTCCTCATCTGAATAAACCGTATATTCCCCTATATCCCATTTCCTTTCACGTTTTGTTTATATTCGTTTGACTTATTGATATTCTTGATGTACATCAATAACAATATTCATAAGAATTTGCTATCACTAATATTTCTTTTTTATATGTAGTACTGGTTATTTGCAGTGACTTAGACTACTGTTTTTGAGTGCCTGTTCGTAATAAATTTAACAAGTTACCCGTAGATTTGATAGAATTGCAGAATTTTAAATATAAACGATTATTTGAATTATAAAAATTAACAATAAAAATAAAATAAAATAATAGTTGTAACTATATTTTTTCATAATCACACTTATTACCTCATACAACTTTTAAAAAACTCATCCACATTTGGCTAAGGCCAATGTGTTTGAAATACTTTCACTATATAAAAAGTAGATACACAACATATATATAAATACAATTAATAATAGTAACAATATTATAATATAGATATTTTTATGAACTGTCTAATGTAACACAGTACATGCTAGCAAATGGGATCACTATTCCTCTTTACTAAAAACTCTTATATTTCTTTTTATGTGTGTTTATTTGCAATGAGAGACTACTGTTTTTGAGTGCCTGTTCGAAATAAATTTAACAAATTACCCGTAGTTTTGATAGAATTTCGGAATTTTAAATATAAAATAAAATAACATAATAATTGTAACAATATTTTTTCGTTATCACATTTATCACCTCAAACAACTTTTAAACTCATTCACGCTTGACTAGGTCCATGTGTTTGAAATATTAGTCCCCGTAAAAAGGTAGATATTATATATATATAAAATCAATAATAGTAAAGTAAAAATATTGTAATATAGATATCTTTATTAACCGTCTAAATATAAGTTATTATTTATAAGTTAATAAATAATAACTGCTTTTTATATTGTAGATTTGTATTATTTGTTTCAAGGATTCAAATTCAAATTCAAAAATCATTTATTCATGTAGGACATTTTAGCCGCTTATGAACGTCAAATTTTTACATTCTAATTTTATTTTTTTTTCCCTACCGTCCAGTTCGGTATATAGATCCAATTGAGAAGAACTGGCAAGAAACTCAATTGAATTACTTTTTTTTAAAGCCAGTTTATTTACAATGTATATTTATATAGGTGTCTATGTCTAACATTAAATGAAAATTCAGTGCATGATCGTTTTCTTTTGTAACTTTTATATTTATTAACTGTCTACAACGAAGTAAATTCCTAACACAGTGCATATCAGCAAATGGGATCACTATTCTTCTTTATTAAAAACTCCTTATCTACACCTAACAAACAAGAATTTATTTTTTTAATGTACATTTATATATTTTTTTCAGGGATCGTTTCCCTTACTACAAAGCGAATGACGAGCGTTGGAAAAATTCTGTGCGACACAACTTATCAATAAATCCCCATTTCCGAAAAGGCGCTAGAGCATCCCAAGGTGCTGGTCACCTCTGGTCGTTAGCTGCTAATGCTATAGATCTGTTACCATTGAGAAATCAATCTGAGGAGGATCGGACGAAGGTGACGTCACATCCGCTGCATGAGACTGTTCTTACATGTCCAAAGGTAACCAGGAAACTGTCGTAATATTGTGTATAATAATATATTACAAAGAGTTTCTTACATATTGGTCCTAAAAATTTATTTGTTAAATAATATATATGTTGATAATTTTGTCTGCTTTTAGGTGATAGTACTGGATGAAGCTGCCATTGCAGCTGCAAGCATCATCACTGACCAAGATTTGTTCTCTGGTGGTACACGTGAGTATTAATTTCAACTACCATATCTTTATATGTAATCCTTAATATATACATCTATACATATAAATAAAAATGGAGGGTCTGTTTGTAATATTAAAAGAACCGTTTTTTACTACATGCAAATGAATATAAATACGGTACATACACCAAAATAACATTTTTTACAATTTTCGTCTGTCTGTCTGTTTGTTCCGGCTAATCTCTGAAATGGCTGAACCGATTTTAACGGGACTTTTATTGGCAGGTAGCTGATGTAAAAAGAAGTAACTTAGGCTACTTTTATTTTAGGAAAATTCTTTTATTTTAAAAAAGAAATAAAGTTGAATTCCACGCGGACGAAGTCGCGGGTACAGCTAATAAAATTATAAATGTGAAAGTACTTTGAGTGAAGTTTGTTACGTTTTCACACAAAAACTACTGAACTGATCATCATGAAATTTTGTACACATGTTCTTGGAGGTATTAGAATGAACATATGATACTTTTTATTGAAATATTTTTTTTTATAAAAAACAACATCAAAATCGGTCCAGCCATTCAGAGATTAGCCGGAACAAATGTACAGACAGACAGACAGATAAAAATTGTAAAAAATGTTATATTGATACATGTACCTTATGTATCATATACCAGACACTCCAATTTTATTTATATGTATAGATATATATACTATTACCTGAAATGGTATTAATTCGATGTATTACGTACGCTATATCCTTAAATTTTACTCTACCCGAATTAAACCTATATACCCCTGTAAGAATGAGCAGAGACAAAAGGCTTAGCACCGTGAAAACAAAACAATAGCCTCAAATCGCGGCTTTGTGCTCAGTAATTCACTAGTATTGTCTTATTAGAGGGTGCTGTATTTGATTACCGATGTGGTGAACGTATTCATAAGTAATTTTAATATTATGTTACATCACTTGATGTTTTATAGTGGTTAGTAGAATGACCATGTTTGGATTAAAATAGATTCTATTTAGAAGATACTAGCTGTTCCCGCGACTTCGTCCGCGTGGAATTTAACTTTATTTTTTCTAAAATAAAAGTAGCCTAAGTAACTCCTTTTTACATCAGTTACCTGCTAAAAAATGTGTCGTTAAAATGGGTCTAGCCATTTCAGAGATTAGCCGGAACAAACAAATCGACAGACAGACAGACAAAAATTGTAAAAAGTGTTTTTTGTGTATGTACCATATTTATATTTATATGCATGTAGTAAAAAACGGTTATATCAATATTTTTCTTTTATGATTTTATTATTATACCACAGACACAAAGTCCGTGCTCTTATTAAGTTAAATTTTACATTTTTGTTTGACTTAAATTGATTTATTTAAGTAAATCTATTTTGGTCAGGCCCCATATAAGGTTAGTTTAGTTTAGTTTAGTTTCATTTATTGACCAATATAAAAAACATCTTTACATATATGGCAAGTCATAATATACAATAATGATATTTATAAAATTTAAATTCGATTACAATTATATTATTAAATAAAATAAAATAAATTAATTACGTACACAATACACGGTATAAACAATTACAATAAGTCGTAATAATGTTTAAAAAACATGATTACGGTATAATTATATAATTACATTTTGAGTCATATATTCTGTTATATTATAAAAAGGATGTTTTACAAAATAATATTTTATTTTCAATTTAAATTCTTTCTTTTAATTCTTATATCAATATTACAAACAGACACTCCAATTTTATTTATATGTTGAGTGAGTGCTAAACTGCTAGACCACTGAGGTATATACAAGTGGTAAGATATTGATGAATTTCGTTCACGTTTCAGTGTTCCTGAATCCAGTGTCAACGGAGCAAGTGGTCCGTGAATGCGGACTCATCACCGTCGACTAATGTCTTCATTTGTGTCAACATTAAGTAAAAATTGCTGAGATTATATCTTTTAAATAAGTGTGACATTTGCGAAATAACGAGATACGATCATTTTATATCTTCATAACGTTTATGTATGAAGACAACAACGGGTTGTATAAGAATAACCCGCTTATCTACATGTTACCCCGCGTATTGTCCGCGAAGTATTAAAAAAAATAGTTTTCCAAAGTAAGTTAATTAAGTTATTCCTTATAATAATAGCTATCTGCCAGTGAAAGTCTTGTCAAAATCGGCCCAGCAGTTTTCAAGTTTTTCCAATTGGTTTTAAAGAAATGAAATGTTTTTATTATATCTTTTCATACAAATTTGGAAGACTTGAAAACAGGAATGAGATCGTAAGTATAGCAATGTCTGTATCAGGTACATCCCTCTAGACCGTATCCATAATATGACATTAATAATCAAATATGCAATTAGTGAAATGCTGTTAATTTCAAATTACTAACGGACGTTTAAATTTTATGTTTTTAGATAAGTAATATGCATTATTTCTGCATTGCATTTCTGTGTATTTATATATTTATATATGTATTTATATATTTTATATATAGTATATATAATGTGTGTTATTTTCTAATATTTATTGGTATTATATCCTATCCCTATTATTACCTTTATATATATATTCTTCCATTCTATTCATGCGCCACCTACCACTTTTGTTGCATTTTCTCTACCTAAAGGTTGTCTGGAAGAGATTGCTTCTAGCGATAAGACCGCCTTTTGTACTTCCATATCTGTTTTCTGTATAATTCTTATGTATTAATTCTATTGGTGCAATAAAGAGTTTATAAATAAATAAATAAATATTACGGAATTCACAACATATTCATATTTTATATTTTGATTTAAAATGTTGGAAAACGGTTGTTATAAAAATGGTAGTGCTGTCGATGTATAAAAGTAACTCAATTTTGGGTATATCACTTTTTTTATTTATTCTACACCACGCAGAGTCTACACTAACAAACTGTTTGAACAAAGTTTCTCTTGATAAAGTGTACTCACTGGCTGGAGAGTATGTACAGTAAATAAATACAGGATACAGAACGAAACCTTTATGCTGAGTAAAAATAATTTGCGGCTACAAAAATGAAACGCTCTTTAACGCAAGTAAAACTTAATTTTAAATAGAAGAATAGAATAGATAATCACTTATTGAAATAAACTTAATTTAAGCACTTTTGAATAGTCATAACAATTTTTTTAATCTACCGCTCATTTGGAAAGCTGTCTCATCACAAGAAGAACGAGCAAGTAACTTGTGTGTTGGTCTTTTAAATAAGAAAGTTCACATTTTTCAAGTCGAAACATGTGAATACAAAGTACTAACGAGCACCAATCTATTAGGGTCAAATATAAGTACACAATAAGGTCAAAACATTCGTAGTGATAAAAGTAGACCAGTCTCCACTAACAGGACTTGTTCACGAGTATGACGTATATAGCCAGCATCACTGATATCGTAACACAGAACTGTGGGTGAATACAAATCTTTTAATACGAACTCGTTGAGAATATCTAATAGGTCTGGAATAGTTTTAGAAATACGTTGCGCCGAGTGCAAAGTTTCCGAACTCTAATCCAGAATAAATAATTAAATTTTCAGCGCATTCGACTGCACTCTACTAGCTTTGACTGAGGGATAAATTATGCATTGATTTATTTTGCGTATTCCATGATATTATGTATTTATGTCCTATGATTTTAGTACTGCACTAGGTTTTGAACGCAACTTATGTTACCATTATTGTATAGGATTTTTTTCGGTACTCTAATGTTGTTAGCCGCAGCTGGCCTTTACAGCTCCACCGGATGATAGGGGGCGAGTGCAGACGGTACTTCAAACCCGCGGAAGGCCGCTGAATGCCAACTCGGCTGACAGATATAACTTTAGTCTGAGGGCCTTTGTAATTTCGATCCCCGTTTGAATTGAATAGGGATCGTTCGGAGGGGTAAATGATAGCCTATGCACTTTGACGTTTCAAGTACTGTTTATAAACCATATATAAAAATGGTTCGATATGGTAGTTAAAAACGAATGAAAGTTTAATAAACTCACAAACATGCTCACACTCATAATTATACCCATGGTTGTATGGAAAGTTGTAGTGAAAAGATTGTTTATTACTTAAAAAGTAAACCCGCCTGTATTTAATTGTATTTAAATAAGTATAGTAAAATGGAATATTGTTCATTTCTTTTTTTAACTGTGTAATTCTAATAGACTATATTATATGTCTATCTATATATCTATCGGAATAGAATAGAATAGAAAATCATTTATTCAAATAAACTTACATTGAAGCACTTTTGAATAGTCATTACATTTTTTTAATCTACCGCTCGTTCGGAAAGCTGTCTCATCACAAGAAGAACGAGCAGAGAGAAGTTTCTTACTTGCAACTCAGTATTATCTAAGTGTATTTTTTATCTTCAATAGGGTATTGTCAATATATTGTAAATATTTTATGAAATTAAATACCATTTAGCGGCCCATTTCACTACTTAAGAGATTTATATCATTTTGTTTAATTCCGCCGCTACAATTAGCATGTGGGAGACCACAAATATACCTAATAAAGCTTATCCGAACTCTATTTAATGCCTGATGATGCTTTATTCAGAGGCGAAACACGTGTCGCAATATGGGTATGGCCTCAATAACGGTCGGAATTTTTTATTACCAATATCATCATCATCATCATCATCAAAATCATCATCAATCATCATGAACAAAACTATATAAATCCATTAAGTAGTGTAATTTCAATATATTGGTCATACAAATAATTCTGTCTGTAACTCGCTACATACATACATTTCCAATTTCTATTTCACTTAACTGTCCCAGCACTGTCCAGTTTATTTTAGAACCATGAATAGGTTATCAAAGTCGCCTGCATTTGGTGGCATTAAAAATTCATACCTATTTCTATTTTCATAAGTTTCACATTTACTCGTATAAGTATGGTGTGTTAATATTTGATATTTAATACTATTGAGCCGGCTGGCGACGAATTACTCGAAAATACAGCAACATTTATCGGGTCCAATTGTGGGGACCGCGAATTGGCAAACGTAGTGTATGACGCCCCGTAGCTAGGTGAGGCGACGACATACGTAGGGTAAAGATTGAACGAGAAGGGCTGAAGATCGTGCCTTGGGGAAGAACTATGTCCAGCAGTGGACTGTAGTGAGATGATGTTAATAAATTGCGTTTTCAAATCTCGGAATTAATTGAAATATATACAGATTATTGAAATAAATTACCTGAAATTAGATCTAGCTATTTAGGAGGAGTTAGGTGATAAACAGACGTACAGTGAATTTCAGTGCTTTCTAAATTATATACCAAATAATACCTTTAATAGAGAGAAGAGTAGATATAGTAAGATAGATAGATAAAATAAGCCTACAAGGATTTTTTATGTTTTTCAGATTTTGTGTCTATTGTCAAATTAAAAAAAATGTTGTCTCAGCAATTTTTATTGAATAGAATAATTTATTAGAATAATATTAGCGATCTCATTATACAGTTGTCATATTATAGTAATGGTAAGTTTGATGTATCTAATAATAAATGTACTTAAAATGTGTTTTTATTTCATTTATATATTAATACTAATATTATATTAATAACATATCTTAGGAAAATTTACACAGCGCCATACAGTCCTGAGCTAAACAAAGGATACAATTTTTTTTGTAAATACAAACACAATATACATATAAAACACCCAGACTGATACGAATAATCGTACTCATGAATGTTTGTACTTTACGATGAATCGAACCCACGACAATCTGGAATAAAGCGGTCTGCTGAACCGCAAGACCACAAAGTTACTTTAGCGCTTTGCAGAATAAACTAAAAATAACTAACTTGGTTATAAAATGTTTTTAGTTAATAGCACCATATTTTATATATTCAGTACTACTGTACTGATTTATTTATTTGGCTAATTTTGATTTATAACTTTGAAGGTACTACTTCAAAGTTATAAATCAAAATTAGCCAGTAGACTCGGCTCTGTTGTCTATCCAATTAGAAGAATTAAGTAATTAACAGATGTGACAATGGCTAGACTTGTTTTTTTTAGCAATTTCCATAGCATTATTTTTAATGTTAAAATAGTGCTGTGTGGATCACATGATATCTTACTTATATTATAAATGCGAAAGTAACTGTTTGCCTGTCTGTGGCTCTTTCACGACAAAACTACTGAATCGATTTAAATGAAATTTAGTACACAGATAATCTAGACCCTAAGAAAAACATGGGCTACCTTTTAATGCGAAAAAGTTATGTAGGGGGCTGAAAACGGGTTTAAGGGTTGTATGGAAGTACCGTCATTTTTAAAGCTGGAAACTAATTTTAAGGCTGTTGATTAATAACTAAATGTGACTTCTAAAGTTAGCAAAAATTTTCCCTTAAGGAGGTAAATTAAATAAGGTATAAAAATGTGTATCGAAATTCGAATTTATACACGTTATTATTATTTTTAAAATAATAATATGTAGTTTGTATAATACCTTAAAAATATATATTCGTTAATTTTAATATAGTCACTGTTATTCATACAATTGATACGGGAAGCGTTCTAGATGCAGAAATTTGTGTAAAATTCTAATTCAGATGCACCCTGGCATGCACAGTGTAATATTTCCCGGATAGTCTCTGTTCGGAAAAGAACTTGGTTATTGTAAAATTCCTACCTTTAAAATGCTTCTGGTATCTCCTCTGTATGGCCAGACATTTAGTTTTAAATTCCCACCATCAAAATGCTTTCTCTCTCTGTGTGACCAGACTTGTAGTTTCCCGTTCTCTTGGGTTATTTTAATTGGGTAACCCTAAAAAGCGAATGGCGATAGAGGATTTAATGTTTATTAATTTTGTTTATCTATTTGCTAAGTTTGGTCACGTACCACAAGAAATTTATATATTTTTTTAGGGTCCGAGGGATGTAATTACAGGGTTGGCAAGACATTTTAACTCACCAGCGGAATTCTAAACGTTTAATGAGGAAATTACCCACTAATGCTGTTTTGGTTGGTTTTTATTGTTGCTAAATGCATTTTATATTATTTTATCGCTGCTATGATTTTTTTTGTATACTCGATAGGTCTGAGAATATATTGTTATCAAATTTTATACCCCCTTTTTTTTATTTAATATTTTTCGGCTCTGGATACAAGTCCTTTTTAGCCCAACATAAAATACAAAACCTTAAAAAAAATTATAATTTCTTCCTTGTCTGAGAATATGTTGTTATCAAATTTTATACCCCTGTGTGATTAGGGTAGCCCACCACAATAATTCCTTTTTTATTTATTGGAAATTTTCTTTTTTTGGGATAAGTATTTAAAAATATTCGTTTCTAAGAATTTTTATTTGTATACTAAGTTTGAGAACAGGTTGTTACTAAATTTTATACCCCTACATTATTAGGGTGTCCAACACAAAAAACTTATTTATTTTTTGGACACAATTTCGTTTTTTTTTTTTATTATTTGCCATTAAAAATACATACAACCCTAAATGTTCACTCTTCAACCATCTCCAATTTTATAACAGCAATATTAATTAATGTGGCCAAACAACAATTGTCAGATCTGCTAGTCTATATACAAATATGTTATGGATCTGCTACAAATATGTTATGCCTACATGAAATGAAGCTATAATCTAATCTGAGCGTGGTATAGATCTGCTAATGGTAGTGGGCGTAGCACAGGCCATCTATTACCGGTCGTGTGACCTCTGTAATTTACTGTAGAACCCTCAGGGACTGGGCGATGTACGTCCATAATTGTGGATCTCTGATTCACATCTCACTAATACCAAAGTCTGATAGAAATTAGATCAAGCATATACAATAACCTCGGAGTTTAGCAGTTTAGCACACCGCTTTACTTCCGATGGTAGTGGTTTCGATTACTCGCACGGTACAAATATTTGTAGTCATGAGTTGTTTGGATCGGTCTGGGTGCTTTCTATGTATATTATGTATGTATTTACAAAAAAAATCTAAGTTTATCTATCAGTTATCTAGTACACATAACACAAGATAGCTTGGAAATAAATAGCGCTACCTAAATTGCCCAGGGATACTATTATTATATGTTATACATATATAGTGTAGTGTTATCTAGAAAGTTCTGATTGGGTCTGTTTCAACGATTTCAGTCTCCAGCTTCTTTTTTAATCTGTGTTCTGATTAGAAGGAAGATAGTGAAATATGAAGCCTTCAGAAATGGAAGCTATAAGTGATACCACGGAGGTCATTTAATGACGTGATTTCCGCAGTGCTGGACATTTATATAGGCGACTTACCATCAAGAGGGCTTTCATTTAGTTGCATAAACCAAATACAATATATACCTAGACGTCGGAGCTGGATGGACTGTGTCGTCAGAGCTGAAAGATGATATGGCAAGAAAGGGACGCACTTCCTTTCTTACTATATCATCTTTCACATAGGCCACCCAACAGGTACGAATGGAATGAAAAAACGTATAACGCCGACCCCAAATGAACGAGATAAGGAAGAAGCAGATGATGACGTCGAACTCGAGCGACATCGTAAAATTTGAGAATTCGGGTTGAAGGTAAGAATAAAAACAATTGAATCGAACATAGCATATTGTTTAATATTCCATACCAGCACTAAAAACAAATTCATGTCACAAACTACACAAAAAGAACAAGCAAGTTAAATTTGAGCGTCCCTTCCCTACCACTTAGAAGTCCTTTGAACCAAACCGCATATTGTTAGTAATAAAAACTTTTTTCATTATCTCCGGTATGGGAGCTTATTGAAAATAACAATGTCGCGGGTTGCTTTTGTTTTATTGTAAATTACTTGCCCGTAACGGTCTACAACGCAACGGAAGACGCTCCGTTACGTTTTCGTAGTTTGTAACCGCCCTGAGACCGGGCCGGGCCGCCTAAACATAAAGGGAGGCATAATGGGTATCGCAATAAACTTTTCTCATCGGAGTTTTCATAAATAGCTAATAATTTCTACGATATACGTGGAATACAATCGATGTTTTTTTATATATTCATATCTTTTATGGAAAAATAAAATAAGAAATGAAGAAGTATTGCAAACGGCTAAAGAAATAAGACAGATGAAAAATAATTAAGAATAGGCTAGGGGAAATGTTGGGGTACTTGATACGACATGTAGAACTTATAAATAATATTATAGAAGGAAAGGTCAAGACACAGCTATATTAAAGAGATTAAGGAAAAAGTTGGAGTCGTATCATATCAACAACTAAAGAGTTGCAGATTCCAAGGATCTTCAGTCTTCAGACCCTTCGAACGAATTTTCTTGAATAATAAAATAAGTTTTTCTATATTTCTTTGATGTTTTTATTGGAATAAATTACTAATCATAATTGTATTACTATTGTTCAACAGAAATTTTTTTTCCTTGATTTCCAACATTAACAGCCTTTCGATAAAGTGTCCTTGAATCCTCCAAAGTTGATGGTAACTCAATATTTTTAGTTTCCGGCAATGGATAGCATAACACAGCACCAAGGATTGCCATTATACCAAAGGTAATTCCCGAATACAGTTCTGGTAAAGAATTTATAGGTGGCGCCACAATTTGTCCTAATCTTGATAAAACAGATAGGAATCCTAATACAGAATTTCTTATAGACGTCGGAAATAATTCTACACCGCAAAGAAAAACAATCATAAACGACATGAAAAAGAAACAGTTACAAATACAAGCAAACACCACTCTAACCCATGCTAAATGGTTTGGAATACAAATTACAATAACCATAAAGATACCTGATAATAAATTTGTTGACATCAAAAATGTACGTCTATTTAATATTTTCAATAGGAATATAGCAGTTATTGTCCCTGGTAACAGTAGAGTGCCAGATATGGCTACGTTTGTATGTATATCACCGCTCATTTTACCAATATATTGGGATACACCGTAATAACCCATTCCACATGTAAAATATATGATTGACATACAACCAAGATTGAGTACTAATCGTTTGTGCTTGAAAATATGCCAAAAATTCATTCTTCTTCTATTTTTACTTGTATGTGTTGAATGAAACTCTTCTATTTCCTCTTTTATAATTTCACCGGATGTTCTATTGCTGAAAATATTTAATATTAATATAAATAATAATATCTCAGTACAATTCACACAGCGCGATCTAGTCCCAAGCTAAGCTTGCTGTGCTAAGTTTGTATTATGGATACTAAGCAAATAAATAATAAACAACTCTGTTATTTTTCTGTAAATACATATATGCTATAATAAACAATTATGCTCACAAATACAAAAGTTTGTAGCTGCAGCAATTCTAGGTGAATTGCTGCAGCTACAAACTGCTGAACTGCGGTACGCAGTACACACGTAGGTGACCTTTTTGAAGTCATGAAAAATATACTTAAAGTTTCTTACTAACAATTTCGATAGCTTCTCCATCACCATAGCCGCTTGTTCAATGTGATCATTATCCATCAACCATTTAGGAGATTCCATTATAAGCCATTTGAAACCGACGATCAGGAATACTGGTATCGAAAGCGCTAGTTGGAACTCATCGCAGTGCCTTAGCAGATATGAAACTCCGGGTAAAGTTATATGGCTTAAATTTATTGGAACATGGTAAAGTGCGGTGATTGTTTCTCTGTGTCGTACACCACAATATTCTATGCATAGTACATACGCGGTTACTATGGCCCCACCCACTCCAATGCCTTCTATACATCTCATGACGATGAATGATGCTGCAGTTGGCATAGAACTGACTAGACATCCAGACACGGCAAGTATCAAGCAAGACATTGTGAATGTAGAAAGACGACCGTATCTAAAATTTACGATACGCAAATTACTTCGTTTTTTATGTACCAATACAACTCATTTCTGTGAGGTCCAGATATTGTAGGGATTTCAATTTCTTTATGTAAAAGATACCTAATTTTGTTCCCCTATAATGTAACTTTCTATAGGTAGAAAAGTTCGTTAATCAGTTACGTATGTTATAAGTATATCAATTATTACTAAAAAATTGCTCAATATTTGTTATATTATTTTATCATATTCGTTATAATATGTTCGTTATTAGTAGTTATTTCCAATTAAATACGTAATGTATTCGAGAATTATTAGAGTCTTCTAAAAGATCTTGGCCTATCTAGAACATCAGTGGGTTTTATATTAGAATGTGTATTTGAAGCTACACTAGCAAGCCTCTACTACATTTCACTTGGCAGGGACAGAAATACGGCCAGTGAAGGTGAGTATTGACGTACACTGGCAAAGGGGACAGTGACCCGGATGTAGGTTTAAGGGAAACCTACCTGGGTCAAAAGTTTCCGGAACTATTGAACCGGCATCACATGGTTAGTCCAAGAAATGCTAAGTTCGTCTCTTCGTTCCAAAACTTTACTGGCAGAGAATATTTTTAGATATCTCTAACTATGAAATTTAACCTGCATAAAGTTTCCTTTTGCACCATTTTTTAATTGCTTAATGAAATTATCTCCAACAATATAATTTGTCAATTTAAACATAGAAATTCTACTAGTATTATTAGGTACAGAAATTTTAAATCCTTGAAATGTTTACTAACTTGTCGGATAAAAACCCGAAAACTAAAGCTCCAAACAACGTTCCCATGTACAACATGCTCTGTGAAAAGCTGATTAACCATGCACTTTCGCAAATAAGCCCAAATTTCGTTTGCACAGTCTCTGTAAACACGTTTCTATTCCACCATGGCTCTTTGCATGGGCACACGTTTTTCAAATCATTGGAAATATTATTTGTTTCAGTTGTATTACAGTAATAGTCCATTGGAGGTGACAAAAAGATTAGACTTAAAACGTGCCAAAATATTGGTAATTTACTTAGAAATATTAAAGAAAAAAAGTAATAATGATACGGGGTTAGCACATTGAAATGTTTCTCAATTGGATTGTTCAATTTGATATTCTTTATTCGCGGCATTTCAATTAAAAGTTATTATTAATACAATAAAATGATAATTAATAATTTTTGTGGCATTATGTTCGATTAATTGGGTTGTGTCACTTGTAGTCTAGTAGGCTACGTATTTCAAATAATTAGGGCTCCGCTCTTGCTTCACTATTGCAGTATTATACGATGGAGGTTGTAGGTATAATTTTATTGTACCTTATTTGTGATTATATCTTATATATAAAATTCTCGTGTCACCTCCGAAACGGCTTGACCGATTCTCATGAAATTTTGTGAGCGTATTGAGTACGTCTGAGAATCGGCCAACATCTATTTTTCATCCCCCTAAATGTTAGGGGTAGTCCACCCCTAATTTTTTTTTAAATTAAGGCAAAACAACGTTTGCCGGGACAGCTAGTATACATATAAACTTTTGAAAGTAATTTTCTAGATATCAGTTACATTATTATTTACAATCATTCTTCTATACGGTATGTGGATTACAAGAAACAAATGTCCAGAGACAGATGAAATCATGGACTATGCTCTATAGTAGTAGAAATGAGAAGGGATATAAAGAAATATAATCAATAAAATATAGAACTTCACACAACGTCATCTAGTCCCAAGCTAAGCAGTATCTGCGTTATGGGTACTAGACAACTGATAATACATACTACTATAATACATAGCAAGACACAAGCAAGCATACTCATAATTACAAATTTCTATACAGTGGCAGGAATCGAACCCACGACCATTGTAAAGCGTGTGCTAAACCGCAGATAACCGAGGCCGTCAATCAAATATGATTGATCTCTAAATATTATTAGCACTGAATTTTCTCTTCTCACGTGCTGAAACGATGTTTGATCCACCGCGACGCCGCTGACTCCTGTGCGTCAAATAAATCACTGAATTTCATTCAAGACATGTTTCAGGATATTAATCTCGTTCGCCAGTTAATGTTGAGAGTGCGTATTTTAGGTTTGAACGTACCTACGTTACCTTTAAATTTTACCTTGATGTTGAGTGATTGATAATGTTTGGCTGTTTGATTTACATTTATGATAAACTAGCTGTGCCCACGGATTCATCCGCATGAAATTGTTATTCAGATGTAAAAGCTATATTACTGTAAAGTTCCATCAAAAGCCGTTCAGTTCACTTTTGCGTGAAAGAGTAATAAACGTCTATTCATGCTCATAAACTTTCGCGTTTATAATATTATACGTCATAGTAGCTTTATGCATGCAAAGTCTCAGCCCGATCGATATAAAATTGACAAAGTTTCATACAAACTTTCACCCCCTATTTTATCCCTTTGGGGGATATAGGGGGTGAAAGAAATCAAAATAGAGTTAATCAAAATCCTTTCTTAGCGGATGTCTACGTCATAACATCTACATGCATGCCAAATTTCAGCCCGATCCGTCCAGTGGTTTGGGCTGTGCGTTGATAGATCACTATGTCAGTCAGTCACCTTTGAGTTATATATATATTTACATAAGATGATTATTTAGTGTATTTATAAATATGTTTTTTTACGAATTCCGTTCCGCCTCTGAATTAAATAATATGTCAAAGTTTTTTTGAAGTTTAGTTACGCAATACATTTCTGAAAGAACCCTGTTTGATAGGGAAAATAAAACAGTTGTTTTTACTATTCTCCATATAACTTACTGTATTTTATCACCATTCAAACCTTTCTTGGAGGTCTATATATATATTCTGAAACAAATATTACCCAAACCGTTTCAGCAGATCAGCAGCATTCGCCCATTTTCGAGTTTTAGTGAGACTAACAAACAATTAATTTTTTTTAAAGATATAGATATGACATTAAAGTGTGACGGTCATCACTGTATTATGTGACACTCATGTGTCACAAGACAAAGTGGTTTGATTCCAGCCAGCACTGGACAGCCTCGGTCGTCTAGTGGTTTAGCGGATAAAGCGGTATGCTTTACCATCCGATGGTCGCGGGTTCGATTCCTCGGTACAAACATTTATATTCCTGAGTATGATTGTTTGTATCGGTCTGGGTGTTTTCTATGTATAATATGTATGTATTTACGAAAAAAAAAATCTATGTATTTATATCGGTTGTCTAGTACCCATAACACAAGCTCTGCTTAGCTTGGGACTAGATGGCGTTGTATGAATTGTCCTGCAATATTTTATTTTATTCCGCGAGATCTTGAGTACTTAATAACTAGTTAAGAATAATAAAAAATAAAAATAATAAATATAAAGTTAACTGCTTTGAAATGGTATTTTTTATTATAGAGTGTAGTTTATTTGTATAATGTAAACTGATTTAATCGTTCACTCACAAAAAACGATTCGTTTCATTCAACGCCTACCTCTAGTCTATGGATCTGTTTTAATTTTTATATTCTTCGAGTAAAAATAGAAGAAAGAAAAAGGTAAAAGGTACAGTAGGTAAGGAAATCAGATAAAAAAACATAATTCCTTTCGCATTCAAAATATTAATATGGAAAATATTTTATAGAGGCTGTATGATATGCTGTTTTAATGTATTAAAATTTCCTTTTGTTGTTTCCAACTATAAAATATCCTTTTATTTCAAGCACCAATTCAAAATGCGCCACACATGACTTTATGTCGCACTGTACGGAGTGCAATCAGGTTGAGTGTTTTAAATATTACAGTTTTAATAGTAATTTACAAATGGCGGCTGTGATGAATATTTTTTTTTAAATCATGTTTGGAACCAATTCTAGAAAGAAATAGATTTTCATTTTTATAGATTAACTAGCTGACCCGGCAAACGATGTGTTCCCTTATAAAGTAAAATCGCTTTTAACAAATAGGGATTGGTGGTAAAAGGGAAATTTTAACACATAATAAAAAAAATTAAAATAAAAAATAATTGTCGAAAATAACGTAAAAATTTTTGAGCCACCCTTAACACTTAGGGGTATGAAAATTAGTTATAAAACTATTCTCAGACCTACTGAAAATACATAAAAATTTTTATCAAAATCGGTCGGCCGTTTCGGAGGAGTATAACCAAAACCGAATATAAGACACGAGAATTTATATATTAGATTTTGTGTTTCGGATACTTTTTATCTTTTTATTACCTATTTTGACGATTCTTTTTGAAATAAAATGGTTTTTAGTATCATAATAAGCCTAAATAGTTTACCGCTACTTACAGACCCAAAGTGATGAGTTCCAGTCTGGCAGACCGAAATAAAACATTTTTGAACAATGAGAAATCCAAATTATATTGTTATATTTTTTTCTAGACACCGATGGCACTTTTATTATTTCATTCAGTTACATGAAGGTTCAGCCAAGAAGCAAGTGCAAGAACCTCTACTCATCTTTAAAGATCAAGTATAGTAAGTATATACCTATACTATATAGATTTCTAGATGTAAATGTAATAGGTTAAGCCTAGGTTGCCAAGACTGACCGTGTATATATTTCATGTATACAGGGATATCAAACTTCAGATCCGACTAACGTGTGAAATAGCACCAGGGATGTAAGCAACAAGATATTAGCGATTTACAATTTCTATTAAATAATAATTCAATTTTAATATTTAAAAGATATATACTTTACCCTTTGAACTGAACAAAATATAGAAAATATTAGAAACGCGAAAGTTCGAGTATATATGGATGGATGGAAGTTTGTTTTTCATCTAAAAACTACAGAACGGATTTTGATGAAACTATACATTAATATAACTTATGCATCCGAATAACACATACATTATAATTTAAAAAGATATTACGTAAAAGCGAAATTAAGCCTATATGTTTGTACTGAGATACAAATAAAAACTATTATCTATCTATCTAAATATAATGATAAATGTCAAGTAAGTGTGATGGAGACGATGTTGCGATGTACTGATTTTATGTGTTAATGTAAATACAAATTTATTTAGGAAATACAAATTCAGCCGCTCCATAAGTATTTCCGCGGTTTTGGAGTACTATCTGCACTCTCCCCCTATCATTGGTACTGGCCTGCGGCGGACAACAGCATTGAAAAATTTCGAGCTGAGTTTCTTATTAGACCTTCTCATCTCGAAATCATTCCGAACTGACGGTAGATTTGACATATCATAAGAGTCTGTAATAGACCTACATGAATAAAGATATTTTGAATTTGAATTTTTTTAATTTTGAATTTGAATTTATATTAATAAATAAATATCATCTTCCAGCAATGATATTTGCGATTACCAATACGATATTGAAACTTACAAGAAAATAGCTTATTCCTTCTTAAAATTCCGGCAACGCGTTTACAATTTCTCTAGTGTTCGGTGCTTATTGGCGGCGGTAATCACTTACGATCAGGTGAGCCGTAAGCTCGTTTGTCCCCTATGCTATAGATAGATAATTTGATTTGCTTAAACATTTACAGCATAGATCTTACATGTGTCAGGTAAATATACGCCGCATGTTCAGAAGGCATTCAAATTATAATTCTTAGTCATTTACAATTAAATTACATACAGATACAGCATATTAAATTCCAATTCTCGCAAAGAGTAACAGCATTTTTACAAGCCATTAGTGTAGTTATTTTTTAAATCTATATAAAATATATATCTAAAATCATAAAAAAAATATATCGAAAATACAAATAATCCTACTCATGAATAATTGTATGTAGCGGTTTAGCACATCGCTTTACATTCGCTTCACTTCACATCGCTTTACAAACATATGTATACATACAAACATTTGTATATATACAAAAAATTGTATACAGACAAGTATTTGTATACATACAAACATTTGTATGTATATATACAAATGTTTGTAATCAGAAATGAAATATGCTAAACCGCTAGACCACCGTGCTCATGGGCGGCACTTACGCCTATGCTTTAAAAATATATGTATCTAAAATCGCTAGCTCCTGTGTCTTAACGCTGTCATACATCTGTATTGAATGCCGTCGGAAGTGTGGGGCACAAAGCTCTTACAACTGCAGACAATGGACACGATCTGTCCACTCCAGCCTCACCCGCAGCCACATGTCGCCGATTAATATCTGCGGCTTTATCAATATCGCCATAGCATTGTCACGTTATTGAAT